GAAAGTTCCTTTCTTTCCTCTTATTAAAAGAAAACAAAGTGGAGAGCTCAGGGCAAATGGCCAGGCAGGTAGAGAGTTACAAATGCTCCTTTTATCCTACTGCGTTTTCAAAGTATGTTATCTTTTTCTAAAACACAATGAGATTTACTTTGAAGTAAATGAGTTTAGCATCTGAGCAGTAGGAGCCAGCTCTGTTCTGTTCTGGTAGTCATGACTTCAGTTTAAAATGCGAGGTAGGCATGGCCAGATTGATAAAGAATCTTTTCTCTGGGCAGAAGAAGCAGTGGAAGAACATGGAATAGCCATTATAGTTTGTAAGCCACACATAGTTGGTGGCTAAGAGAAATATATTTAACCATGTCAATAGTGGTTTATACAACAACCCATAGTTAAAATAAACCCCTGACTTAGTATGATGTGTGAATTCAATCACACTCTGGGCTGCAACAAGTAGAAGCTCCAGTGATCCACTGGGGCTTGTTTGCCCCAGCATAATATCCTGCATTTGTGACTGTTGCTGCCTGAGTTGCCTGATGAATGACATGTGTTTGTATGTGTACATGTATTGCATTATGACTCTGTCTTTTTGGATCTCTTAGTGGTATTCAGTGTCATCAGCTGTGGTGCCCTTCTGAAATGCTTTGCCAGAATGATCAAACTGTCTCCCAGTTGCTTCATGATGTCAATTTTATATATATGCAAGTGATAAGACTGACCCTTGTATAATCCTACCCGGCTTGCCAAGTAGATAGAGGAAGCCTCCCTAATTGCCACCTTCTGGAATCACTCTGACAAACTGGAACAAAGCCAGTGCAGTTTCAGCACTGGCACATCAAGTACTTAATGGAATCTATTGAAATGCAAATAAACACTTCACCAGATCAGATGAACCAGAGGAATCATCAACAACATGATTCTATGAAATGCCATCATCCAGCAAAGGGGAGGGACTAGAAGGCCTCAAGTGGGAGAGAAATTGTTTGATTGGACCAGCCAATGCCATCTCTGGCCTTCTCCACCAATTCCATTCCCCAATCTCTCCAACATACTTTGAAGCTGTCATGCAATTGTCCTCACTCTTGCCAACCTCAGAGCGCTGAGGAACACAAGGGTCACTATGAGCCAATCAGTACTCTCTCTATCCGCCCCATAGGAGAGTGAAAAAACATCACAGGGCCAATGCTCTGTCCCTCTTCTCCATTTCATGCCAAAAAAGAAAAACCAAGCCAAGCCAAGCCAAGCCAAAAAACCCCTCGTCCCCCACTTCCCACTGTGATAGGAAGTTCTGTGGGGGAGGTATTTTGCAAAGCAAAACAAAGCTTTGAAAACATTCCTAACATTCCTTTGTAATATTAAAAAGCTTCTAAAGGTGGAAAGGAGAACAGTCTATCAGCACTTTTGCAGCTGCACATTTTCCCAATACTTGTAACCATGGTTATACAATAGATGGCTGTGCTGGGAGAGAGGGGAAGAGAAATACAGTACATAACTCAGGCTCTAGAAGGGGGAACTCTAAGCCCTGAAGTTGGGATGAGAACAAAAACCACCAACACCATTCAGTCAGTGTTGCAGGGGGAAAAATCCACTCTCGCTTAGCTTTCAGAACACCAACCCTCCCCACCCCCCGCCAATCCTACCAAAATGCTGAGTCGGCTCCCCAAATGAGCCAGTGACCAACAACCTGGAATCAAAAGTCTTATGTCAGCTTGAAATGGGCTCAGAGTCGTTGTATGGTGTCCTCTGTGTACCATGAGGAGATCAGAAGCCAGATTGAGAAGGATCATGGAAAGGTCCCATGTTTTCCTGGCATTATGCTTTTAGCATACTTAAAATAACAGTTTGGCCTTAAAATAGCTTTTTAAATGCACTGGACTTCTGGAATGGATGAGACCACACGACACCCAAGACAAGGGAAATGGCTGCAGTACAAAGCAAACAACAAAAAACCAACCCCAAACAAAACCAAAAACCGTCCACAGCATTCTGATCAAGACAAGTGCTTCTTCACACTCTTTGCCAAAATCTCTGATCTCAGCTGTCATCCGTCTGGGTGTATGTTTTCAATTATTTGCAGCCAATTTCCTGTTCCTCTAAATGCAAAGCCGCAGGCCTTTAACTGAAGAAATGGCTTCATTCTTGCTGTGTTTGGGGCAACCTAGTATGCTCTCTCCAGGTAGCTTCTCTGGAGACTATGGTAAGTTGGCACCCTGCAGGCACAGAGGAACTTTTCTTTCATTTTCCTGAATGAACCTGCCTTGCCATCAGCAGGGTTCTACAGTGCCTTCCTTTATCACTTTGGGAGAGGTAAGCATCTCTCTGCTTGGTGAACTCTATTTGGGGGTCCAAGCAAATTATCCTTTGCCCAGCTCTGTGATACCTGGAACCTGATCTACTAGTCTATGGGGCAGAAAGGGATTGAAGAAAACAACCCTGGTGGCGCTTTTCCTTTAAAAGTAAGAGCAAGTTTTCATCTGCTTTGGGAAGCACAGCTTGAAGAACATTGTCATGAATGGGTGCAGTCTTGGATGTGCTCAATTTGGAAACTCCACTGAACTTAAAGGGGCTTATTTCTGAATAGACATGATGCAAAACTTATGGCTGAGGGAGACCTGGGTTAAGAGCAGCTTACTTCTGATCCTCCTGCTGGTAGATTGTTCAGCATTAAGACTGAAGCGTTTGGGTGCTTGGAATCCCAATGTATTATGCAGGAGGTAATGTTACTGTATGGCATCAGATCTAGTGACATCAGTAAAACAGATCTCTATGCTAACTTTTAAACCATGCTTCTAGCGCTTGTCAACCTCCCCAAGCTGCCTCCCAAACCTTCCCCTCACGTTTTTTTTTTTTTTGCTGTGCTACACTAGGGATGCTCAGGAGGCTGCAGAAGGGTAGGATGGGGTGCTAAGCAAATCAACGTTTCTCATAGATTGCCACTCTCTGCCTTCGTGCTTCACAGGAGATCAGTAAGCCTGTAAAGGAGAGGGATTTTTGAACTGGGCTAAGCAGGCACATCTAAAGGGAAGGATTTCTTTTCTTCACAAGGCCAGTGATCTTTTGATGGGATTGGTGGTGCTCAAAGCTGCAAGCCTCAGCATTCCACTCCTTCACTTATGCCACTCTGTTTCTGTGGATTGCGCGACATGTGCTTGTGTCTTTGCAAATACAGGACCCCCCCCCCCCCCATTTTGTATTGTAGCTGGGAACTGCAGTTAATAGCAGCCAGTGTGCTCAGAAATAATTGGTACATATAGCAAATAGGATCTGACGATGAATTCTCGGTAAAATGGCTTCTTTCTTAGCTCCAGATGGGAAAAAAAGATGATAGGGTTGATACTGCTTTTCCCTAGGGAATCCTGCAGTCTCATAAATCTGGCTCAGGATGATGAGTTAGAAAAATGGAAGATGGCTTTGACTTAAGTGCAGTATTGCCTGTTGTTCAGCTCACACTGTGCACTGCCTGAGGCTGGTCAAGAGATTTATTGCCCACAATAAAGATATTAATCTAATAGAAGTACGGCTCTGAAAACATGCACAGCCTATTTTGGAACATGCGTTTCAATGATTTTTTTGCAAGAATTGTGGCATGGCACTTTTAACGTGGATTCCAGGGGCCACTCTTCCGCCCACTCTCCCCACCTAACCTTGCAAAGCCATGGGCTGCCTGTGTGTGACAAGTGCTCCCCTCCAGTTGACTAACAGGGGAGTGCAAAAATGGGCATCCAGCTGGTTGTCATTGTAACTTTACATTGTATGTGTTGTTGTCCCATTTCAAAAAGGGATTTGCAAAACTTGAAGAAGACCTGTTGGCAGGCACCAGTGGAAGGAAGGAGAACTGAGGAGAAAGAGACAAGAGTTTCTACCTCTACATTCCAGAAATATGTTACTGGTTATTCTTCCTGCACCCTTTCTAGGTCAGAGATTAATTGGATGCCCAGTGGCAACTATCCAGTAGCAGAACAAAACCAGGAGCTGGACAAATGTCTTATGCAGAGAATGCTTCAGAGTTTCTATAGCAGCCCGTCTTGTGGCCTCAGTTATTCTGACCTCCACTAACAGTATCTCTGACTTCCATCTTCCTGAGAGCTGACCTAGATGTTCAGAGGGATGGCTGGTTAAGTTTTATTTTAAATATTTTTGTAACTACCATGACCTCAGCCACTTCTAACTTTACCCCAACATTCCCCCACTTATGTACCAACAGAAAACAGACATTTATTGTGTTCCTTCCTTTCCTGTTCATGTGAGAGCTACTGTAGGAAAGAGAGAAGAGTGTGACTGGGAAGGGGAATGTTGCACCCTTGTGCTAGGCTGTCTCCTGACTCTGTGATGGGCTGTGTGAAGTGAGTCACTTCTGGGGGCTGCCTCTTTGTCACGTCTTGCAGCAGAGCAAATAGAGAGGAACACTGAGGGGAGAGACTCATGGTCTTGCTGGCCATGGAGCTATGGCAAACTGTGAGGTTAGAAAGCCTGGCAAATGGCCCAGTGCAAGGGAAAGGAAAGATTGAAGGTATTTCCTTACATTGATAACAGTACATTGTGTTTCTTTGTAAAGACAAGACAAAACAAAATTATCCTTATTCTGCTTTTTTTTTTTAAAAAAAAGAAAAACGTCAAGTCAGCTCACAGCAATACAAACAATTGAAATTAAAGCAAAATCAAGGCAAAGCAACTGGGGAGAATCAGAGAATTGGGGCTCAGGTCAAGTAACTTTGCTCATTATTTTTAGTGTAAAAAATGCTTTACATGCTATGTCAATAAGAACTGATTAAGTAAATGGACTTCCCTGAGTTGCAACAAAAGTCACCTTAGTTGCTTTGACATGACTTTGAACCCTCTTCCCCAACCTATTGCTCTTCCAAGATGGTGGGGCTCCAATTCCTGGACTTATGCAGCATGTCATGCTGCCCCCGAACCTTCTCATTCTTTGGATTCTAGGTCCTAACTTTACATTTCCATGATATTAATTCATAATTCTCCCACTTTTTTGTTTTTCTGCCTAGGAGGAATATATGGGTTACTTCCTCAGCCGTGTCGGGTGATGGTGCTGCTGAACCCACGGAGTGGAGTAGGACGGGCTCTGCATCTATTCAAGTCTCAAGTTCAGCCAATGCTGAGAGAAGCCAACATAGAATTCCATATGTTTGTCACTGGTGAGTCTTGTGGCCAGCTCAGAGCAACTTAGGAAACTGGTTTAGTAGATGTGGCTTGAACTTGCATTTCCAGTTCTGTTCACTCATTTTGCCTTTGGCCAGAAATGTTCTCTCCAGCCAAGCTTGGGTAAAGTGACATCATTGGCTACTCTATGTTGTAGAGCTCTTCGTAGTTTCAGTGTATGAAAATAGGTAGTTAATTCAGCCTTTTCCAGTTCTCATATGCGGAGGATTATAGTAACAATAAACTATAAAAAAATAAAATGTATGAATAAATTAAAACCTATCACCCCAATCAAGCTTATGGGAAATAAAGACCAAGATAGTGAGAGGGTACTGGGTTTGGAGAACAAGGCTTGTTTGAAAACTGCATTAGCAGAAGGCCACTCATTTAGGCACTCCAACTGTTTGACTACCTTATGCCTCAACTTTGTCAGCCTCTCTGGCACCCAGTCTGTTTCTGGGCTCGCTTTAAAGCAGTGGTTTAATTATTATAACTCCCAATAGCTTGGAACCAGGTTATCTAAAGGACCACCACCTTGTTGTGTAGATGCCTCCCCAAGTCTTAAAATCTTTCCAGATTTGTTCAGCAAGTGTAATAAGCTAGTTTGGCATTTTTTGTCCTTGTCTTTATACTGGATTAGATTTGCTGGTTTCTTTTCTTTTCTAAACTGCCCAGGTGTAACTTTCTATAAATTTGTTTGAGAACAAATGCTTTTAGCAAACAAACAAGGGAGTTAATTAAATCAACCCAACAAACATTTGACAATAATGGTGGCCAAATAGAAGGGAAGAATTTTGTTATATATCAGTGAAACAGCTCCTTGTGCTTCAAGTAGGGGGTTGAAGTAGATGTGTGTGTGTGTGTGAGAGAGAGAGAGAAAGAGAAAGAGAAAGAGAAAGAGAAAGAGAAAGAGAAAGAGAAAGAGAAAGAGAAAGAGAAAGAGAAAGAGAAAGAGAAAGAGAAAGAGAAAGAGAAAGAGAAAGAGAAAGAGAAAGAGAAAGAGAAAGAGAAAGAGAAAGAGAAAGAGTGAGTGCCAGAACCAATGTAAGAGGGAGAGATGGCTTAGCTGTGTGTCGGTGGACTCGCCTAGAACCCATAGTCCAT